GCCCGTTCACTTGCCATTGCAAAGCTCCCATCCCACCAAGTTGCCACCATCCTGTCTGCAGCCAGGGGCCACGCTGAGCTGGGGACCGAGGGTGGGCTTGCTCAGCAGCCTAGGTCCTCATGCACTGGTGCAGAAATGCCAGCCTGTCCCCAACCCTGTCACCTGTGCTGGGGTGAGTGTCCCACAGCATCCCCCACGGTTTCCCACATCTGGGCTGGCAGCCCCAGCCCGGAGCATGTCCCAGCTCACATGGATGTGCTTGCTGAGATACCCCATCGCGGTGTGCCAGTGCATTCACCCAGACTTAGTGCCCGGTGCCAGGGAGACGGGATGGCAGATGTGCCCAAGGCCTTCTCCAGGTTCCAACCCCTTGGCGTTAGTCCTCCCAGTGCCATCTCTGTTTGTAGCAGAGCCTCAGCCACAGGAGACCCACTTGTGGCACAGTCTCTGGCAGGGAGCAGGGCTGGATGCCTGGGGCCATGCAACTTCTGGCCAGTGGGCTCTGGTGGGGAATCGAGACCCCGCCCCAGCCACTGCTTGTTTCCTGGTCTCGCACCAGCCACCATGGACTGAACCAACCTGCCCAGGCAGGCAGCGCATGCCATGTGGGCCAGCGTCACCGCTCTCCTTCATTTCCTGGGACGGTGACATCATCACGAGACTGGGACACAAGAAGCCATGTGGTCCTCTGATACTGCTCTATGATTGTTTCCCCATGAATTACAGGAGAGGTTAGCCAGCCTGTGGAGCCCTGGGCCAGTGCAAGGAAGCAGCTGTGAGATGGCACTTTGCTTAGAGCTTTTATGTGCATCCTCACTGCAAAAGTGGTTTTGAGAGGAAAAGCTCCAAAGACCAGATCTGGGCTGGAGGAGGCTAGGGATTCATGGATGAGCCACCTCTTCTCACAGCTCCTCCTGGGCCACACAGGGCAGTTGGGCTGCTGAAATGTCTTCCACCATGGTGTGGTCCTCCTGAAGGAAGGAGGTGAGAGATCCCTTTGCCCTGGGAGCAGCCACCGTGCCTCCTTGCCCATTGGCATGGCAGGTGCCATAGCAGTGGCTCTGCAGCGCTCAGCCCCCAGGGAGACCCTGCTCAAGAGCAAAGGAGCCGCCGGGGCCGCGCAGAGCCAGCTGCCAGCTGGCAGTGCGTGCTGAGGTATAACATACCCTGTGTATAATGTGATCACGCTGCGCGTGGCCGATGCCACCCCACGAACAGAAATCTGTGTGAGTATGTATATGTGTATGCTGCCTAGACCTACATTGCATCGTATATGTTGGTGGAAACTAGGGCTTGTAGGCCCTCGAGTAACCAGCATCTTCCAGCCCGGCTGATCACAAGGGAACCTCACTGCTGGTCCAGTCCCTCTATTTATGTTGTCTAGGGTGTGTGTGTAGTTTGGGACAAAAGATGCAGATTGCACAATAAATTCATTTTTTCTTTTTTTATCCACTGACACGTATCAGTCCCTTGATGAGAGGGAACCACCTGCACCTGCCCGGTATAGCCCCGGAGCCCCCGTGACAAGGCCAGGGCCCTGCTGGACGCTCCTGCATGGGGGTTGCAGATCCAGGGGCGAGGCAATGGCCCCCCGCAGCTGAGGGGAGCTGCAGTGCCGCCCTCCAGTGCCAGGCCTGCAGGCGTGATCGCACAGGCCCGTGGGGCCTGCCGTGTGAAAGCCGCGGGGTTAAGGGAAATATCCCCCAAAAGGGGTGCTGGGGGCCTGGTACCCCCATCCCGGGAGCCAGGCCCA